CATGCCTGCCCATCGTCTACCCTTCTGTGCTCTTTTTGCACATGCTAGATTAGGCTAGAAGAAACGTCGCGGCGGTCAGACCATGACATGGCGTTGAGGTATGAAGAAGCTAGCTTCAGCTTTGGCTTCGGTTGGTGCAGCCCGGTTTCCAGGTTGGGTCCCAAGGGATGAGGGTGGTCATTGGTTAGAGACGCAAAGAGAAGTCAGTTGCGCGAATACTGTACGGTTTGCCTGTCGAAATCCCGTGCCCCTTGGAAAAAACGATAAACTAACACACAAAATTTCTAAAAGGTACAGTGACACAAACAAATGGCCATATTCCAGTTATCTACTGTCCTACTTTGTATCTGTTTAACCTTCTTTGCACTTCGTTCTGTATCCCAATCCGCCCACTCCCTGTTGTCTGTATAGTTATGTGAAGATCATTTGATTAAGAGGCATGTTTGAATCTAAAGAGAAAAAACACTACGGCGTACAAAACGACCCTGCATTACACCCGGGCTCCCAGAAATAGTGAAAGACTTATTACTGTGAACTGGCGCTGCTCGGTGAAATAATCGCGTATCCCATAAAACAGATTGACTTCCAGGCAATATTATAGAAATAACAACAAAATAATTCGATCAACTGAATTAAAAGCGCTTTTAAACCACAGATTTCAGCCGGAATTGACGCCTACATGCGATGACAACACCGCATTTGCCTCCTCCCTGGGCTTCTATCAGCTGGAAGCAAATGGATACCTGTTATTGCAATCGATTCGTTATCAACTGATTCCTAAAGCCGGGATTCGTCTAAATCTTTAGTTCTCTTCACTGTGAATTATGAGTTCGATGAGCGACGTTTCATGAAAAAACTTAGCTTACATTCGAGGGCAGCCATTGAAAACGAATGGTTTTCACGTTTCTGCGCGTACCAGCATGTTTTCTCCGTTTTGCAACAGTTTTTTTAGATTATTTCAAGAAATGCGAGAAAGGGAACGAAGATGGAACATTTATGTTCTCCTTTAATATTCCTATGGAGATTGAAGTTGGACGCGTTACGTCACATGAATACTAATGCGAAAAGTTAATTCACATTTGTTACAGCCAATAGAAGTTGCAAAGGTGCAAACAGCTAGGCCAGATCCAAAGATCCCACGTTTAACAAGCTTTCAGTACATTTCGGAAAGTGTTTTGTACCCCGGTCCATCCCATACTAGTTTTCTCCACTCCAAAAGATCGCTTCAATCTCCGCTTGTAATAAATCAATATTCATTGGAGGAGGGGGCCTGCTATTATCAGCTTCCATCGGGAACTGTTTCAGGTGTCTCTTTCAGCAGACCCCCAATTAAGGTGGACAGTTCACCTGTTAAAATTCAAAATTTGTTACTGACAATTCAGGGCTTCAACCAATCGGTATAACAGTAATGATTCGCTTATCGCAAACTCCGTCCCGTTGATTAACACATTCCTTCATCAGTGTGTTCAGTTTCTCCATGCTTGTGATTATGGATGTCAGATAATCATCGGGTATCATCGGATTTTAATTTTTTTCACTGTTGGTGGAGTCCGCCGGTTGACTTCTTGTTTTAGTCAGGTATCTGTTGTACACTAAGAACAAGTTGCTTTATCTAGGATATAAGAATGGATTCTTGATCCTCTTCTGCAGCCCTTTCTCATCTTAATCTGGAGGATGTCGACTCGGTATCCGAAATCGGTGGCCCGTCGAATGCTGTTCACGGTGGCATGCATAGCCTCGCCTCAGCTGGACCTCAACTCTATCCCATGATGCCCAATCATCATCATCCACATCATCATGGAATTCCCGACTCTGCATCATCTGGAGTAACTGTTTTGCCTAATCCAAACACATCCACTGTGTTTGGAATGATGCCTCCAGGCACAGTTGGACCGGGTGAAGGCGTTGGGCTCGTTGGTCAGTCGAGCAGTAATGGTGGAGGTGGCGGCAATGCAACCGGCGGGCCTCCTACGCATTACCCAGCCTATCCGCCCCTACTTTATCCAAACTCAGCTGGAGCAGCAGGTTCCGGAATGATGATGAACCATACCAGTCAATCGGGTGGAATAATCGGCACTGGCGGTGGACCGCCTTTGTCTCACATGCCCAGTCAGATGATCATGAACAGGTACGCCTATTTCGTTGCTAACTACATGAATAAATCACATTGCATGAGATAGGTTACTGTTCCGAGACTTGTTTGATGTCTGCGTCTGTATTATTACAGTTACTGGTTCTTTTTATCGTTTTGTCGTCTAATGATCGTCGATCCGCTTTATGTGGAAATCGCATGTCGCGTTCATGTTTTACTTTTTCGTTGGGTCTAATGGCAGGTGTGTTTGGTGTTTTACCGATTGGTGCTGAATATGTAAATAGACTCGGTCCTCAACATTTTATCCCTCTCTCTTCTCCTCCTTTAATAGCCTTGACGGCAACACAGGCCCTGGTAATCAAATGCTTTTCCCGGTTGATACTCAAGGGTATCCGGGCGCGGTTCCATTGCAGTTCCACCACTCTCATCCTGCCACGTCACAGTCACAGCCGTTGTCTAATCAGCAGTCTCTGCAGCCACAGAAACAAGCGACCGGTCGTGGCAATTCCTCTTCCTCGTGTTCTTCCCAATCCTCAGCATCATCGGCCTCATCCTCGTCCGGGTCCACAGCCTCATCCGGTACACGCCTTGGTCCAACCATGAAGATATCCGGTGGCAACGGAACGTCATCTGGAGTGAGTAAACATNCCGTCTGGCGTTGCAGCTGCTGATCACCTGGTGTCCTCTGGATCCGTACAGGCACGGAATAACGCTCCCAGTGTACAGAGTGCATCCGGTAGGTTCAGTTGATTCATTTTGTTCACATTCATGACGTTTCCATTCTAAAAAGTCACACCGCTTACGCTTATTGTCGGCCGATACAAGGCGAGCACGTGTTCACACGTTTAATGCTTTGATGCATGTAATTTATCAAGCGTGATGACAGATAAAGTGTATTGCTTTTACGGTGCTCATTCTGCTGCCCCACTCCTTGCTTCCTTCCAATTGCACTAGGGTTGGTGAATTAGTCG